TCTGAGAGCTAGAGACAGAGGGGAGCTGGGAGAACCAGGAGGCCAGCTTCTGCTTTGATATGTTAATGGACACCTCAGCTATTTGTCCCAGGTTAGAGACCTCTACCTGTACACATAATTGGATTTCTATCAAGAATTTCAATACAAATAATCAGCCAGGTTTGGGAAATGTATGGTTTATTTTACATACATTTAATTTAGAATGTGATATCTAGCAATTACATTTTCCTCAAGGTCGGGTGTGGTGGCACATACCTTTAATCTCAGCACCCTTGGAGACAGAATCAGGTAGGTGTCTGTGAGTTGAAGGCCAACTTGGTCTACACAGCCCTTGCAAACTCCAAGACAGCCAGGGAGGGCTTCAGAATCAAACATTTCATTAAAAAAAAATCTTTTAAGTGCTGAATATTTTCAAGCAATTGTTAAGTGCTCATAATAATGTTATTTCCATGCTGTTTTAATCACCCATTTATGTGTGAATCTTGACCAAATACTGTTTTAACAGGTACTCATCAGATCAGAGTGAATAAACACAGAGCCTGAGAAATCAGGCTCTAGACTTCAGCTAACTGGCTGGTGTGTACCCCAAGGAGGGAATTCTGCTAGGGTCCTTTCATAGGGACAGGGGATCATCCCTCTGGATAAGGCTGAGGAGGTGAGGCACAGATGGGCTACTCGTGCCAAGTGCATGACTGACCTTCCTTTTCTCCACAGGGAGTGGCCATGAAGGCCTGCTGAGCTGAATCTATCCCACCAATAGCCATGTGTCAATCACAATGCAGAATCCTCACAGTCCAGGAATGTCCAGTCCTGCAGCCACCAGTCAGAAGGTGCCTACATCAGTTGTTGCACCTAAGAAGAGAGGCAATACTTATGGGTTCCAAAGATTTCAATATTTCATCATATAACCAGTCACTGATCAATCAGGGCTACAGAGCAAGGATTCGGGCCTTATTTCTCCTGACAGCCCTGAGTAGGGGCAGAAGTGGGGGGGGCAAGAGGGGGGTATAGGGGGTGGGGGAGTTCATGAGCACAAAATTTACAAACATTGGTTGCCAAGTTTTTGACCAATCAGGATTTAGAGATCGGGGCTTCCTTGAATGTCCCATCATTGTCAACCGATAGATATACAATGCAAGCCTTTCAGTTCAACCAATCAGATTCATTTGTTCTTTCTGTGGTTAGGAAGGGCCATAATGTTTCTAGAGAACTAAAGATGCATAATGACTATTTCTCAGCTCCCCTAAGGCTTGGGAACCTGAACTTTGTTTTACTCTAAAGGTAAAATGGAGTCTGAAGTCAAAGGGGCAGTACTTAGGCGAAAGTGTTTTTTGTTTGTTTGTTTGTTTTTTTGGCCATAGCAGCTTCTTTATTAACTCTGTGGGGCATTTACCCACCACCCCCACAGCTTCCCAGAGTTTTCTTGAGTGCGAGCAGCAGGAAATATTAGATAGAAGGATTTATAGCGGAGAATCTTGCGGAGATAAACAGAAAATAAAGGATAGCCTCGAGAGGGCCTGGAACCTATTCCAAC